TTTCTTGGCAAGGCTTGTGCGCAACAGCGCCTGATCAGAAAACATATCCTTAAATGTCCCCCGTACCGTAGTATGAAAATGGTTTGATTATACATTGATTAATAATAAAATAATGGAAGCTTATTTTAGAATGAGCCGTCGCAGTATCTGAGTATGAATGTATGGATGATACAAGTATGCTGTAATATTTATTTATGATTATCAGTGACAAACGGTAGCGAAAAAAAAAATCAATGGTTTTCTATTGTTTTTGACAAGTAGTGCCTCAATATGACAAAAAAAAAATTTTTTTTTGCAACTCGGCTCCGTTTGCATTACTTTTTTCTTAAATTCTGATCTCCAGCTGCCGTACAAATGGGTTTTTTTGGCCAAAATACTTTCCCTTCAAGCCGTATCCGGAATTTTTTCAGTAATTCTGAAATTAAGTCAGTATGATATTTGTAAAATTTAATCACCTTTTCGACTACAATGTGTTTTTTTCTCATTTGTAACTGAAGATAAATTTTTGAGAAGTGGGTCGATGAACTTCTTGACTGGGATCCGCGTGAGTACGGTATGATCAACTACACTGTGCTACCGTTTGATGCCTTATGGATTCCAGATACTGTTGTCTACAACAGGCATGGGAATTTAATTTAACACAACTTCTCTTTTTTTTTGGAATTAGTGAGATCCAGCTATGCAAATATTTCACTGCCTTGTGGAAATAATTCGACTCTAAATTTAATTTGGAATAACTAATGTCTAGTTCTAGCTTAGCCTCCCAATCATAATTTCAGCGTGGTAATGAATCGTGAGGAAAGCGAGCGATACATGAATATCGTAGTCGAAAGCAGGCATTGGGAGGGTAAAAGAGGTGCGAAGGTATCCTTCTTGTATCCGGCTTTGTACACAATATACTGTCGCCTGGATGTCCGTTATTTTCCATACGACCACCAGGTTTGTTTGTTCAATAAACAATCGTAAGTGATGCATTGCTAAGTATTTTAAACGAAATTTTCTCATGTAAATAGCACAGACATGGCTTTTTTCTCGGTCATTCAAAAATCCATGCCTTTGCTAACTAGTGCTGTGACTTTAGTAAGGACAACTGAAATGGAGCAAAAAATTGCTTTTTTTTAAAATTTCAGTTGTAACTGAGAAATTCGTAGAAACTTCAATAATGCTCGAAACAAAATTGGTTTCTAGCCTGCAACCATTGGAAAATTGGTACTTAGGTTGTAACTAGGAAAAACTTTACTTTTTAGACTACAACAGGAAAAACACTGGTGATG